GCGCTTGCGAGGCAGGCAGTGGAACCACTGAGCTAAATCCCTGGTCCTGAACATTTTTATTATGTGTTTACCAGTTACTTCTGCTTATCCTTCATAATATGCCTATTCAAACACCTGCCTTCTTTTTCTATCAGAATGTACACCTTCTTATTGAATTTTAAGTATTTTGTATTTTTAAACCATCTCAAACTTACAGAAAAGTTGAAGATACAGTATAAAAAACTTTTTTATTTCTGGAATCATTTGTGATCTGATGCTCCACCACCCACAAAATACTCTGCTGTATATTTCTACATAAACACAGCACTACCAGCAAAATCAGGAAACAAATACTGACATTTGTGACAGATTGTGTTTTACAAAAACAACAGCAACAGTATCTTACGTGCCACATGTTCTTTGACAACATGACTTCAGTACTGCTTCCATTGAAGGACAGGGGTCTATGTTTCCTTCCTCTTGAATTTGGGCAGGTTTGTGACTTGCTTGGAGCCCAAGAAGGTCACAGAAATGACACTGTGCAGTTTCAAAGACCAGATCAGGAAAGGTGATATAGCATCTGCATTTGCTGGCTGAACCCTTCCTTCTTGGTGCTCAGAAGCTCCATGTAAGAATCTGACTCCCTGAGGCACCTGCTCTGGGGAAGCCAGGCACATGGTAGGTGCTCCTGCCAGCATCCAAGTCCGCAGGCAATCAATTTATTCTCTGTAATTTGCCCAGTCTGAGTATTCTGTCATAGCAGCAGAAAGCAGACTAAGACTGACACTATGTGTGGGGCTGCCTCCCCAGATGGGCACCCTGCTTATCCTGTTTGGTCTCTAACCCTCTGCATGCCCTTGCCTCCTTCACCCAGTTAAGCTGCCCCCTACCTCACTCCTCTCAAGTCTGGTTCCTTGTACCCCTGGGCGACCCCTCGTTTTATGTGGACTACCATACCCATGTAGCACTTTCTTCTGGTATTAGTCTGTTATGATAATGAGATACCTGAGGCTGGGTACTTTATAAAGAAAAGAAGTCACAACACCTAATGCATTGCTACACTGAGTACCAGGTTTCAACACACGAACCCTTAGGAGACTGTATTAGTCAGTGCTTACAAGAGCTTGCAGGGCTGGGGCAAGTCTCAAAAGATTGCATATGCTCTGAATCAGATTTAATGCAGGACACAGAAATTTACAAGATTGGCCTACCGTGGCCGGCCTAAGTCAAATCGAGAAGAGTGGAGATGGGTTGTAGTGCTAGAGATCCGAGCGCTAGAGATCCAAAGGATCCAGCTGAAGGCCAGGAGCCCACCCCCCATAAGTCTGCATCAGGGAAGGGAAAGATATGGGCTGGGGATTTAGCTCAGTGGTTCTGCTGCCTGCCTCGCAAGTGCAAGGTCCCAAGTTCGATCCCTGGTACCAAAAACAAAAGATAAGGAGAGGGAAAGATCTGGGACAGAAGACCAAGGGATCTGTGTGGGAGGCCCAAGGGTCAGCGCAAGGAGTGAAAGAGTTTGCACTGAAAACCAGGAGAGGAGGCCCAAGGTGAAGGTGAAGACCGGAGCTCCTCCAAGGAACATCAGCCGCAACAGAGCTCTTCTAAGGAAAATCAGCTCAGATCCTTCCCTCCCATTCTCCTTTTATACCATTCTGACAGCAGTCCTCCTTAAAGTGGGTCTTCCATGTCCAGAACCATGCTGACTCCATTCACCTGAGGGTTCCCACTCAAGTTGACAATTAATCGATAAACTACCCCAGAGACAAACTCAGACCATGCCCAACCATGGCCTCCCCACGGGGACCCCTTCTCCCTGCTGTGCCTCTGTCACCCCATATGGCACAGCCCTCCTGTGCAGACGCCCTCCCCACCCTGTCTGGGGTCTGACACTCTGATCTGGTCTCAGGGCTCCTCAGTCCACCCCTACTTTACTCTGCTCCACCTATAGATTTTAGGACTAAATCACTCAGGAAGGAAGGGAAGAGAAGGAAGAGGAAGGAAAAAAGAAGGGACAGAGGAAGAATTTCTTATGATTTTTTTTTTGGTACCAGGGATCAAATTCAGGTCCTTGCGCTTGTGAGGCAGGTGGTGGAACCACTGAGCTAAATCCCCAGCTCTTATTGATTTTTAAAGAACACTTCTTTATAATACTAATACTTCTGTATTAGTCAAGGGTCTCCAGAGAAACAGAGCCAGTGGGAGACATGTATTAAAGGAAATTTATTCTGATGAGTTAGGTCATATAACTATGAAGGCTGAGAAATCCCACTGTTGGCCACCTAGAGTTGGGAAGCCAATGTGTAGGTCAGTCTGAGTCAGAAGGCCTGGGAACCACACAGCCATCCCCATCCTGTCCCAGTCCAAAGGCAAGAGAAAACGAGATGTCCCAGCTCACAGGCAGCGAAGGGGCAAATCCCTTCTTCCTCTGCCTCTTGTTCCACTAGGGCAAGGACTGGACTTTGCCACCATCAATGGAGAGTGTGGAATCCACACAGTGTTCCTCCAGGAACTTCCACCTGCAAGCAATGTGTAAACTGTGCTTGCTCAGGCCAGTCACATGGACCTGTAAAATTAGTCTCTAAGTCTTTTTGTCAGTCACACATATTACATCCCTTTTTCCTAATTTGTTGTTTAATTAATTTGTTCACTTTTTAATTAAAAATAACCTCTAAATGTTCAATTTGTACATGTTTGTTATTTAAAATCATTGGGCGGGGATTTAGCTCAGTGGCACCATGCCTGCCTCAAAAGCACAAGGTCCTGAGTTCTATCCCGGCACCAAAATAAAATAAATAAATAAAATCCTAAAATTCAGAGAAACAAACCAATAAATATGTTTTTTTAAAACAGCTGAATTCCCCAGAGAGCCCATCTTATTATTATCTTCCAGACATTTTTCTGTACCTTTTTGTGCATTATTCATATTTTCCTCAGGGTTAAAAACACATTAAGTATTTAGATGAAAATGCAGTTAGAGGGTACAGCATACAAGTCTTTGACATCAAAGTCTCCATTCCTACTTTCCAGGTTATCTAGTTTTTAGGAAACATTTTTTTAGAAAAGTTACACTACAATGCAAAGCAGAAGTAATTATGACAAAATACAGAGAATTTGAAGTGATTTGTGGATTATTGTTTAGAAGCAGCATTGTTAGCAATAACAACAACAAAAACTGGAAACAGAACCGGGGTGTCGCTCAGCAGTAGAATGCTTGTGTGGTATGCACAAAGCCCTGGGTTCAATCCCAGGACCACAGGAAAAAGAAGAAACTTGGTACTATCTCAGGAACTCCTAAGCACAACACTAACAATAATCACTATGGTACTGATAAGTGTCATTTTAACAATTGGTCTCCCAAGAAATCACCCTGGTGAAAGTATCATCTTTCCTGTATGTTTTTAAACAAACACTGGATCAACATTTTAGAACCTGTCCTTCTCACTTGGCAATATATCACACAGTTCTCATGAGAGTGTATATTAATTTATAATTGTATGGACATATAATCACTTTATTGACCTCCTGTTACTTTGTTTCAGTTTTGTGATGGAGGTTCAGAAATGTTTATATTTTGGCACGAGCAAACCTATCAGTATATTCCTTTATGCTTTCTTTTTGTGACATGAAGTTTAGAAAGCCTTTCCCTATCGGGATACATTAACTTAACAATAATTTATAAAGTGTCAGCCAGTTGCCAGATTCTATAGTAGGTGGTTTGGGTCTATCAGTGAGCAAAATAGGTAAAATTCTGTTCTTCTAGAGCTCATAGTTTGGGAAGGGGGAGATAGGGGAGAAAAAAATTGCTTCCAGAAGAAACTTTTCTGGGTTGAGTCTACAAATTACAGTAACAGAAGACAGATTAACTAGAGAGAAACAAGTTTAATTTCAAAGATATTCAATGGGAGTCCCACGAAAACATGAGACCTGAGGAGGCAGCCAGGTGATTGGAGTTTATGTATCATCCTGAGCTACAGAAAGTAGTAGGAATTGGGGATCTGGGGGAGTGATGGGGAAGATTATGGGAGGGTGAAGGGAGGTAAATAAAGTTGGTAAATGTCTGATGAATAAGGTCTTACTCAGCAGATAAAAATCTCAACTGATAAAGGTTGTCTAGGAATAGCTCTCTTCCTGGTACAGGTTACTTTATTAACAAAAATTTCCTTTACAAATATAAATTTCCTTTACAAAAGAGAAAATATATGCAGTACTTTATATTAGGTGGTCAGGGGGAAGTAAATAACTGACTTTTCCTGGGTCGGTTCTCAATTTCTTTAAGTTCAAAATAATCAATAGGCTGAAGTAGCATATTTTGGGGTGACACGTTCTGAGCCCCTTTAGGGGACAGATAATAAAGACACCAAATAAATAAGTGATATAATATATTAGAAAATGATGAATGATATTGAGGGGAAATTAGAGCAGGATCAGGGGATGAGGGGTCCTGAGGAGATGAATGGAATGGGAAGGTCAGTCCCACATAGGAAGTCTTGTCTTTCAGGGTTTTTAGTCAGGAAGTAAGCTGAAAGCCATTCATAGTAGGGGCCCTGTTTCTGCTGGAAGCAACAACACAGTTTTTCCTTCACTGTGGGAATGGATCAGGATTGGAATGAGTCATGATTTTAATCAGTGGATTGGAATCATTTCTTTGGTTCAGCTCTGGGGGACATGGCTGTCTTGCAACTGAGGCCGTAATGTGAGTGTACATCCGTCTCTCAGTGTTAGAACCACACTCAGCCTATCAGATCCTGTGGGGCCCAGAGGAGCTGAGGGGATACAGTTGTTCCTGATTCCCTACCCAGAGCCCTGGGCTCCCAGCAGTTTCCCCTGAGTGGGAGAGAAATGAGCATGTCCCTCCCCAGACACAATCTGACACCTGTTTCTTCCCCAGATCCCCTTGTACACCTCCCCTCACGTGCCTCTTGAGCTCCCTCAGCTGCAGGCATCCATTTCTGAGTGTGATACTACTTTGTGGGAAGGGCTTAAACTCCCCCACTGCCCGTGTTAACAATATTGAATGATGCTTTTTTTTTTTTTTTTTTTTTGTACCAGGGATTGAACTTGGGACCTTGTGCTTGCGAAGCAGGTGGTGGAACCACTGAACTAAATCCCCAGCCCAAGTGATGCTTTTTAAAAATTGATCTGCAGCATCACTTTATTATGCTCCGAATTGCTTACTTAAGTCACACCACGAAATACCTGCTTTGAAAGGTGACACTAATTCCTTAATGACTCTCCTTGTCAGGAGTCCAGCCAACCCAGACTTCACAGGATTTTACCACACTATTCACCTGTCTCAGTTTTTCCGTTTGCCTACAAAGATACTCTGAATGGCTCACAAATTCTTTGCTGAAATTCAGAGGCAGTAGTATAGGGTTTTAAATGTTTAATATTTATCGAATGCTCTTTCCTAAGCCCTTTGTATTTAATTTATATATGGACACAAGTCTCTGAAATATTATTTCACACACAGTGGTCCTGAGGCCAGAATGGTCAAGTCTCCCTTAAGGTCCCTCAGAGCGATGGGCCCCGGATTCCAGCCCCAGCAGTCTGTGCTCTTAATCACAGTGTACAGCTTCACTTTAGGAGTAGAAATTTGAGGAGCTGAGAAACAAAATGGCCACGTCCGGAAAACGTGCATGCTCCCATAGTCATACTTGGAGAGTCCTTCCTACTGCAGCCCCACACGAGGTCCAGGCAACCACAAGCTAACTCTGCCCAGGAGCCTCCTGGCAAGCCAGGCAGAGAGTCAAATTTTCTCACATTATTTGCACACAAATGACACCAGTAGCTCTGGAGGAAATGCCAGTTGCCCCAGTTGCCACATTGGCATGGGAATGTGTTTGTCTCCAGATGGTCTGTCAACCTTTTGAGGTCTCAACCAGCACCATGCAACCTGCACACCTCCTGCCTGTCCGCACCGAGGCAAATACCACAGGATCCCCTCTCTGCCAGGTGCTGCTTCAACATCTGACAGCCCCTTCCCCAAATGGACACTCCCAGCGTGTAGCTTGTTGCCAACAAATGTTCATTTATATTGTCACTTTAAGTAGTTGTCCTAGTCCATTTAAATGATTAGACTGCCAAGTATTTAAACACCTCAATCACTGAATATTTAGGGTTCTGGAGATGACGTCCGCTTCTGCTGCCCTGGTGCTTTTTTCCCAGCCTCCAGTTGCTCTGGTCTTCGCCTCTGACTTGCTCCCGACCCTGAGACCCCAGTCAGATGCCAAAGTGCTGAGTCTCTACCCAGTCCTTTCTTGCCCAGAGCCTGCACTTCCCTGCATGAGATACTGGCAGCCCTGGGGCTGTGGAGTCTGTGGTGCTACCCCGACATATTTCTGGCTCCTCATCCTCCCCATGGGGAGTGGGGTTGTACTGCCTACCATTTTTGAAGTTAACCTTGGCCATAAGACTTGCCTTGTCACTTGTGGGTGACGCTTTCAGAGCCAACCCATGGCTCACCACACTGCTTCCTCCCCCTCATAAGGGTTGCTCCCTCAGCCTGGGTCCCAGAGGAGACAGATGCAGGGTGGAGCCTCCAGTTGCTCCAGGCAGGGGACTAAGAGCAGAGGTGAGAACTGAGCCTTGCTGCTTGGAGCTGCCAAGATCCGGGGTCCTATTATTACTGCGGCATCTCGTATCCCATCGTCACTGCTACTGTCTTCCCAGTCAACTTTTAGGGCCTTGAGTCAATGTTTTCCATTTGAAGTAGTCACCCCGTTCTTCTAGAAAATAACTGAACTGTATCAAATTTTAAAAAATCTCCACATTGGGCCGGGGATTTAGCTCAGTGGTTCCGCTGCCTGCCTCACAAGTGCAGGTACCAAAATCGATCCCCGGTACCAAAAAAAAAAAATCTCCACATGTGCCCCTACCTGAACTCTGTCTGACATGTTCAGCCTTCTGATGCTCTAAATATAGAAAGTGAACCCAATTTGATGAGACTTCCTGCTGGTTCCCTGGAAGCTCTAAGTGAGGACTCCTTTCTGCAGAAATGTCCACAGTTGGTTTCTACTTTGCTCAGGATTTTTGCCTGGACCCTCTGTGTATGAAACTTCACTTTATTTCCTCATCTTCTGTCCTCTGGCCCCTCTCCAGTTGTCGGACTTCTCACAGACGGTGTTATTCTCTGATCACAATGGCAAGTGTATACAGCTTGTTCATTCATCATAGGCTTTCATTCCCTTTTTATGATCTGTCTTCTTTAGGGTGATTGTTCTGAAGACAGAAGCAAAATAAAAAGCTCAGTAGTTCTGCTTTCTCCCCATCCTCTGTTTACATTACTACATCAAAATCCCCAAGCCCTGGCCTACCCTTGACTCTTTTTTTTTCCTTTCTCTGAGTAGACCTTTAAAAATTCCTTTGTGCTTTCTTTAGCACATTTTGGCAAATGGATTTTTTTTTTTGGTACCGGGGATCGAACTTGGGACCTTGCATTCTCAAGGCAGGCGGTGGAACCAGTGAGCTAAATCCCCGGCCCTCTTTAGCACATTTTATAGGCCTCTGCTCATTCTGGATTAATTCATCTTCCCTAATACTATTCTCTAATATTTACTTAGAAGTTACATTATTGGAAAAAAATGCTAAAATGACACATATCCAAAAGAAAAATTGCTCATGACTCTGTAAACTAATCAAACCAAAAAAATTTCCCCCCTGCTTTCTAATTCTTGTCTTTTGCATATTTTATTTTTAAATATTGGCAGTAATACTACTTGTAACAAACAAGTTTTTAAAAAAAAATCTAGCACAGATACACAAAGGGAAAAAAAATCAAAACCTACATTTCAGTGGATTACCATAAACCAAACACCAGTGTGCCACTGCTCTTCGAGGTCAAAAAAGAACTAATTCACATTTAGCATTCAAGAAGCTTTCTGTGTCCCTTCCCCCTTTACCCCCTCTTCTGGATAATCACAATCTTAATGTTACTCTCTTTTTCCTGTGTGTGTGGGTGTGGGTGTGGGTGCGCGCGCGCGCACGCGTGTGTGGTACTGGGCAAAGAAACAGCTTATGGCACGGGAGAAACATGTAAAGACAGACTCTTGTCTCTCTCCTGTATCTCACTTGGGAGTAAATCTGTCCTCCCAACTTTCGCCTACATCTTTAAAATATGTGACTCAATTAAAAGTTCCCAAGATGAGCCCAGCATGGTGGCATATGCCTGTAATCCTAGCACTCAGGAGGCTGAGGCAGGAGGATCTCTGTGGGCTTGAGGCCAGTCTGGGTTATATAGTGAGTTCAAGGCCAGCTTGAACTGTATAGCAAGACGCTGTCTCAAAAACAACAACAATAGCAGCAACAACAAAAGTTCCCAAGATGGTGACCTTGGATGCTATAAATGCTTTTGGAAATGCCCACAGATGTGGAGGCCGTAGCGTATGTTCTTCTATCTGTTTGGTTATCCTACATAAAGTCATCGGCAGGGCTGCACTGTCTAGTCTCTGTCACAGTAATAGATGTTGATGCCTTGGACTCTAAAAGTGAAGAAGAATAGGAGAGAGATGGGACTATTATAACCACTGCTCCTAAGTAGCATACAGAGAGGGGGGAGGCTGGCAAGCAGGATCTGCTGAAGAATGTGAGCCTGACTTGGCCAGGCACCACCCACCTGGGGGACATCCTAAGTTGTCACATCCCGTGTTCCTTTTGAGAGGCAGTAGGTGCAATGGGGAGCTGCTAGCACTGGACTCAGCCTTGCCCTGGTTCACGCTCTGGTTCCTGGGGCCTGCAGAACCTCAGGCCAGCCCTGTGTCCTCTCCATGCTCGGTTTTGTTGTTGTTGTTGTTGTTGTTTTGTTTTGTTTTTACCATTAAGGTGGATTGTGTTATTATTTCCAGATATTTTCTATCCTTCCCCTAGAGGGTTATACATTCCCACCCCATTGCCCTAAGATTTGGCCATCACAACTTGTGTGAGTGGGTGAAATGTGAGCAGAAATGACACGTTAGTTCTGGACAGAAGCTTTCAGAGACAGCACATGTCACAGTGAGCAGCCAGTCTTCTCTTGGCCACAGAAGAATTCCAAGATAGCCTGGGGCCCTGCAGAGTGGCTTCTGAGCTCGGCTGGTGGGTAAGAGAGGTGAAGATTTATTGATTGGGATTGAACTTTGTCTTTGTAAATCACAAAAGAATAATGACATAAACAGAAGTTTATTTCTCTTTTATGGAGCTCAGAAGTGGGCAGCCTGTAGTATGGTGATGTCACAAAATTATCAGAGATTCAAGATTCCCTCCAGCTCTCTGCTCTGTCATTTGTAGGATATGTGACCCTTATCCTCACAGTCCAAGATGGCTACTAGAGCTCCAGCCATTGTATCTGTGTTTCAAGTAGTGGGATGGGTGTAGAGAAAAAGAAGGAAATACCCCTTTGTTTTTAAGAAGACTTCACAGAAATCCCATATAACAGCAGAGTGGGAGGAAGAGGTGGATCTGGAAGAAAAAGAGGAGCAGAAGGAACAGGAGAAAAGGAAGACAGAGAATAATCAAAACCACTGGACAAAAGCAAGTGTCCCTTACTTATAGAACAAGTGGACAGCAACAAACAGGACTGCCATTGTACTTCCATATCTTTTGTGGGCCTGGGGTCATAGCCAAGGAGGATGCAAACGTATAGGCTCTTGGGTTCTATCTTTTTGAGATAGAATTGAGAATATATTGAGGCTTGTTTGTTTGTTTCGAGACAGGGTCTCACTCTGGTGTTCAGGCTGGCCTTGAACTCACTATGTAGCCCAAACTGGTCTCAAACTTACAGCTATCCTCCTGCCTCAGCCTCCCAAGTACTGGGATTACAGGTGTGCACCACCACACCCTGCTCTCCTTGAGAATATAACAGAAACACTGGAGGTCAAGCTGGAGACGAGTCTGTATCTTGCAAGCCAGGAGGGAAAGGCCAAGGTGAGAACTAGAAGGTAAGTGGCGGGACTGTGTATCAGTCGGGATGGGCCTCTGGACAAATAGATACCAGGCAGCTCATCGCTGATGCTGTGTCTCACAGGAGTCCAGACTGCAGCTGGTTCTGGCTCTGCTCTATACTGTAGGCTCTGCTGGCCAGTGTGAGATTAAAAGAACAAGGTTGCCTTTTCTTTTTTCATTTTCTTTCTCCCCCACCCCTCCTCCCCTGCCTGCCTCCCTCCCTCCCTCCCTCTCTCTCTCACTCCCTTCCTTCCTTCCTTCCTTCCTTTCTTCCTTTTCTGTGGTAGTGAGGATTGAATCGAGGGCCTTTGCACTGAGCTATGTCCCCAGTCCCCCTCCCAAATTTGACACAGGGTCTTGTTAAATTGCCCAAGCTGGGCTTGAACTTGTGATCCTCCTGTCTCAGCCTTCCAAAGTGCTGGGATTATGAATGTGTGCCAGCACAGCTGGCAAGAACAAGATTTTCTAAAAAGCTATATTATGGAAGATTTAAAATATATGCAAAAGCATAGGGAATGGATTATGAGCCTCTTTGAGAGAAATACAGACTTTCTCTTTGCCCTCCTATGCTATTTTCTGCCTCTTCATATGCAATCATTTAAAAAATCCTAGTGTGTGTCCTTCCTGTCTCTTATCCTCCCTCTGATCCCTCCTTTCTTTTTTGTTTTGTTTTTTCATTTTTGTGGTGCTATTTATGAAACCTAGGGCCTCATGGATGATAGGCAAACAATCTAGCACTGAGCCATACCCCAGCCTGCTTTTACCTTTTTCATATAACCCTTTGTCCTGGTAACTACCCCAAATCATCATGTGGAAATAATCCTCATTCCTTTTATCAGCTGCATGGTACTCCACTGTGTGGATGGGCCATAGTGTGACTAACCAGTCCCCCTGATTGATGGACATTTAGGTGGTTTCCAGCCTTTTTCCAGTACAAATTATGCTGTAACAAATACCTTTCTATATATATCTTTGCCATTGTGGTTTGGGCATAGGTTTCTAAAAGTAGAATTGCTGGGTCAAAGAATAATTGCTTATGTAATTTTACCAGTTGTTACCCAGTTCCCCTTAGTAGGTGACAGACTGCTTTGCCTTCCTACCAACAACATATGACCGTGCCGGTAGAAACATTCCTCTCCCAGTTTCATGTTTTGTAGGTGGGAGAAAGAAGTTCAGGGGCATTAAGTACCTTGCCCAGGTCATACAGCTGGTCGGACAGCAGAGCTGGAACTTGGAGCCAGACAAGAAACGTTTACCTGCAGAGAACTAGAAGGCTGGTGGTGGCCTGGGAGGACTCACCACCTACCTCTCAGGAGAGGAATTAGGGAGGTTAGCCCCTTCCTAAACAGCCTCCTGCGGCCCCACCTAGTGCTGCCTCAGTCTCAGTAACCAGGTTTCCATCTGAGCAGAGCCGTGTGTTTGCCACCTCGCCCCTGGCCCTGCCATGGGGTGTCCTCCCGGAAGGGTGACTCCCTGAGCCTGTGTTGGGAACAGGCCTTCCTCCCTCTCCCACCTGAGTCGCCACAGCAGCCAGCAGAATGGGGCGGATGCTCCTTCCTCCGGCATCAGAGCATCTGTTTTCATGCTAAAGCGTGATCAGATCGATGCATGAGGAGGGACAAATGTGCCCACTATTAGCTGCTTTCCTCAAGATGGGCATCAGAGGGAACACTTACCACTTTCCACTTCACAATAAAATGACTCAGCATCTCTCTGAACGCTTCGAGTAGAGCAGCTCATCCCCACTGAGGAGGCCAAGGAGAGCAGCTGAGAGTGGCACACACCAGCCTGGGCACATCCTTCACACCACAGCACCTCCGCCCACCCCTGTGACTCGTGTGTCACTGCCTCCTCCTCACTGGGGAGGCAAATGAAGCTCAAAGTGGTTCAGGGAAGCGCCAGAGCTCCCACAGGGAGCAAAAGACAGAGGCCTGAATTCCAGCTCGCAGAAGAGGCTCAGATAAGAGGAGAAACTTCCAGGATTGCTGTATGCAAGTGTCTTTAGTTTCTCTTCTCTCATTGCCTCATATTTGGCTCATAGTTTATAGATGTTTCAGTCCATAGTTTCAGCTGGCTCCAAGGCTGGGTGGCACAGCAGAGGGGCATTGCAGAGGAGAAACAGCCTGTGGCAAATCAGGGCAGGCAGAGCACGTTAGCCCTCTTTGTGTCCTCTCTATTTTATGCAGGTTACCACACTACTGCAGGTGTAGCTCTCAATCCCTTAATCCTAGCCAGACTATGCCGAACGAATCAGTGGGCTGATTTAGTAATCACACACCCTTGATCCCAGCACCACACACTCT